ACTTAAGTGTACATTATGTACTACATATTTTAAAATATATCCGACAGAAATTCGTAAAAAACCATATATCTGCAGGTACAGCTATATGGGCTATAGTAAACGTGGACCTATACAGACTCACCAGAGATAGAACCCCTTACGAACTACATACACAAAATTTAAGACAATTCGTTCGTTTGTGGCTTCAATCGTCAAAATACCGAATATCCAAAGGTACCGTTATATGGTCTAGGTACCAGAGGTAGAACGATATTTCTCATTTTCGATTCCAACCATATCAAATACAATACAAACTATTGTGCCAAAGCTCTACCTCAAATAGTGTGGATAATGTGGAATAATAGTGTTTTCATTGAATCGATTTCGAATTTTTTGCTGATGATGATCATATATACCTTATGGGATCTATGACGATTATTTATAGGAGTCACACACGGAAAGACAAATTAAATATACCATCCTTACCACAAATAATCAATTTCCATAAAATACAATCTCAATGTTGACACAATGGTTACATTTTCGACGATATATTGAAATTTAATTTTGTTGGAATATATTATTGAGTTTAGAGATAAAACAACAGTAGTAACGGTTCCGTACTTCAAATACGAAATTTGAAACATTTCCGGTGAAAAATCGAATATTTAGGGGTACCGTTATATGGGGGCTGTACAATATCGTGGACCGATATGGCAATAAAATCATTCCTTTTCGTAAATGTTACATTTTAGTTTAAAAAATATAAACAAAACGAATTTGCAATTATTTTTTGTGAAATAAATCAGTAATTATGGACAATCAAGTGGATTGCAGCATGAATTCATAAACCAGGGGTAGGCAGAGAAATTCAAAATTATTTTGTGATTGTATGTGTTTTGAAATAAAAAAATATTGCAAGTGTTTCTTTGTCTATCTATAAACAGGGAGAAATAATTTGCTAGCTTTAATTTTTCAATTTTAAATTTTCTTTTTTCAAAACAACTTCTTTGAGAAAAAACTAATATTTTGATCACACAATTCGGGGCTATATTTGCACAATTATTTCAATTATGATTCATTTTAAAATAAAAAAGATTATACAATTTTGTTTTTTAAAAATATATAAGATGACATTTTCAGAAATTTTATATAATTTTGATGAAATTTGTGTTTCATAATTTCGGACATAACATGCTAATCATCTAAGTTGACCCTTAAAAATAAAAACAATTTATTTTTTACAATAGTGTTGGTGAACACACAGATATCCCATGAGATACTCTTTGCCTAGCCCTGCAGTAAACTTGCGTTAAAGGATAAAAAAGACCTTTCGTTTATCGGAAATAAAACTTGCAACAACGAAAAACGATTTATTTGTCTGACAACATAATTTTTTATCTATCTGAAAAGTTTAATGACCGTCCACAGACTATTAACCAAATGTAAATATAGATTTTATGTCTTTGGCAATTTATAGTTAACGTAGGATATTTTTATGCTACTATTTTGCATAATATTAGATGGAGTGCGACACGTTTTTTTATTTTTACCGATTTCAAGCTTTTAAAAAAGTTTGGGATTTTGATGAATTCTGAATTTGACACATTTGTATAATATTGTGATCTCATTGTGTTTTTGAACGCTATTGAAGGAAATGTAGTAAAAGATCCCTTTTATGACTCGACTGAGGTTTAATTTGGCTTACAAAAATATTTCCTAGATTTGTACCAACAATTTTAGGAAGATACCATGAAGCTAAAATGCCTCACTTCAAGGAATTTAAACTCGAATATCTTCATATATATTTTGTGGTTTATGTAAAGTTTGTCATATCTTTAGCTCTACTTTCAGAATCCTTTCAAGTTTTCCTGTAATTTTGGAAACCATTGAACAGTGAACCATTGTTATTAGCACTGTGTGCTAAAATCCTTCGTCATTTTTGCCCACACAAACTCTATGAGAAATTACAATTTGCCCAGCCAATTTCTTGCGAGCAACCACACTCAATAAAGGTAAACCGTTATCACAACAACAGATCAGTGTCCACTCATCACTACCATTGGCGGTGATGAGCACATGTGATGTTGTTGTGATAACCAATTTTTTGTAAACAAGTTCCCGTTATTCCACTACGAACACGTGGTGGAGCCGGGTATAAAAGGGTAGTCGATAGCAGAATCGTGGCAGTCAGTGCCAGACCGCGAACTTCTCAACACCAAACCGGTAAGTGCTTATCTAGAAATTTATCTTGGACATCCTTCCCTAGGGTACTTATTAAGGTCTCTGCAATCATATCCTTGAATATCCTGTACCTTAAATCGCTTTTGCAGGTCATGATATATGACCCCCGGATAAGGGTACAACCCTATTTCAAGTACAGTTTACATTTTAACCATATTTTACTCATACTCATTTTAGCAAAAGTTGGTAATTTGAGAAGGAACCACCCTCGCAAAAAATGATCATGTTTTTGTATAACCATCATATGATTGCAGCTATTTTCGGGGTTTTGGACATTTTAGGCCTTTATTTGGTATCGTTGTTTTTAAGGGGGTAGAAAATTTCTTCTCATAAAATTTTCAATTTCGGAGTAGGGCCCATCTTGGTCTTGACCACATTCATCAATTGATTTGGCTAAATTGTATTTAGGCTACTCTGGGGTAGAGAATCGCCTTACAGATAATTGTCCACATAGGCATTTATTTGAGTGTAGTTCCCACATTAGTGTACCCCCAAATCCATTTTCCCAACCAATGTTTGGTTAGAAAAGAAAATTTGGTATACTATTGAATTTGAAACTCCCAAGAGAATATTGGTTGGGAACGTAGATGTGGTATGTACGTCTACATGCCATAAACACAGAAATATCAAATTGTGGCAGAAACATGAAAAAATCACGAATATTAATTTTTTATCGTTATTGAATTATACTATGATGAAAAATATGGACTTTATGGGTTCTCCAAAGCACAATTTAAATGACTAAAGTAAATTAATTTTGAAATCATTCCGCCCTCAATTATGAGGTGGACAAAACTAAATACCACGCAGCACGGTATTCTTAACATTGGAAATACAAATCCCAAATTACAATTAATTTGAATGGAATGTTATTTTAATAAAAAACAGCTAGTTTTTTAAATAAAAACCTCGCAGCGTTACATGAAATTCGACGTACTCAGTCGCCGTTTTTCACCATACAAGTAAAACATATGAATGAAAGCAAAAAAATGGTGGAAAAAGCATCAAACTTTAGAATACGTTTAGATTTGTTCGAATTGGTCACCTTTGGCACGAATTTTGGCCTTTAAACTGCCAATGAAAACATCACATGCAGCCCGAATTTTGCTCTGTGATATTTTGGCCCATTCCCGGCGAAGCGCTTGCTTGAGGCGATCGACATTTCTATATTTTTTAATGCCAACCTTGCTTTCCAAAATACTTCAGATACAATGGTCCAAAGGATTGGTATTCGGAGATTTTGGTGGGCATTGTGCGCTGGAAATGTTTTGTACCATTCTCGGGTAGCGCGTGCTGAGTCCTGTTGGAATGTACAAGGTCTGCGGCCAAAATGTTTGCGTGCCCAAGGCTTTAATACACCCGGTAATATTCGGTATTTATTCTGATGCCACGGTCGATTCATATGAGCGGAGAGCGATCATCGGCTGTTATAGCGGCCCACACCATCATCATGGCCGCTTGAGTTTTGGTGGCCAACCGAAGGTGCACATTTTCAGCAGACCTCTTTGGCAAGTAAACACGATAATTTTGTTTGTTTACAAATTGCTAGGCAACGAATGTTTTCTCATCGGAGAAAACCAAAATCGGCAGTTCACCACTTTCGGCCAAGTAAAGCAACTCTTTAGCTCTTTTGAGTCTATTTTCTTTCTGTCACGGTGTAAGTTCTTGCACTTTTTGGAATTTCAATGGTTTTACCCCGAGCTCAGTTTTCAATATTTGCCGAATGGAATGTTGCGATATGTTCAGCTCACGAACCATTTTTCGGACACTGCGTCGCGGGTTTCGATCAAGTCGCTTCTTTACTTTTCGAAACATTTCTGCTGATGTTGCTGTTTCCTTCCGTCCTCTTCCTTGATGTCGGACTACGCTACCAGTATCACGGTAACGAGTGATGGTACGAGACATAAAAGATTTATTCACATTTAAATGCTGGAGTGCTCTAACGATAGCCGTTTGTGGTTTTCCAGCCAAATATAAAAAATCACACTATCACGCTTGAATTCTATCACGAATAACTTTTTTCTGGAAAATTCTCACTAAATTGCTTTTGTACGCTTTAAGCTGTCAGACGAGTGGCTTAGAAATGGCAGCAGTTGCTTGCAGTTTTTTCATCTCACCTTGTATGAGTTTTACCCAAATACGAGCGTATGAAATGTCAAGTTGAACAATTTCAACATTGACAATTAAACAATATCCTTTTTTTGTATATTGAAAACAGGGTACAATAAAAAGGTAAGGTAGAGCTACCAGCTGATTACATTAAAGCTGTTTACCTCTTTAGCCATGAAATTGGAAGATTGGACAGTTTGGATCATATTATTGAGAGAAAATCCAGGCATTTCATTCATTTCTGGCGCTATTTAACTCATTTTAAAAATGAGGAAAAACGAAATCAACTTGTATATAATTTTGAATGAGTCTGACAGGAAGCGGGCATAGCCTCAGGGCTGTATTTCTGTAGTTTAACGAAGCTGTTGTACCTTCTTATTGTACCATGGTTAAAAATAGAAACAAATAATACAAAAATGTGAATTTTTCTGGTTGGAAAATATAACAGTTACGAGAATTTTGTATTAATTATTATAACGTTATTAGTTGGTAGATTTAAAGATATGGACGTGGCGTATTGGGGTAATACAGACGTACAAAACATTTTATCATAGAGTCGAATTTTAGGTAACGCTCTTTTATCTTTGACAGTAGATTCCCCGTTGCTATGACATATTTCCTTTGTTTATTTATTTTGTAACAACAAAGCAACGTATATGTCTATATACATAAATAACATTTTCATTTACAGCAAATCTGTTAACCATCCTTTGAAAGAAATTAATAATTCTAAACTTTGCGAAATAAGGCAGGCTTTGCAATGAGTAATTTGGACGATCTCTTGGGAAAGAAAAAGACCGTTGTGTCCGTGTTGGATTTGAGTAGGAATATTGTGCAGTCCAGTGAGGAGTTTAAACGATTGATGGAAAAAGTTCCTGAATATAAAATGAGACCAATAAAAGTGCGTACAGAAGACATAAAAATTAAGGAAAAAGACTACTCGTTTAAGTGGAATAAAAAAGAAATGAGAAGACTATTGAAAACTAATGGTGAGCGTGAGCCACTTTATACATATGCAGACCCTGTGCCCAGCGAAATGAAGGATGCAAATCTCTACGAGCTGTGTGTTGTTCCCATCGATTGGAAAATGCTAACCACGCTAAGACCAAAGTCCAAGGTGGAAGAAGAGTTTTTTTCGCGGATGGTTGAAATGGGAAAACTTCAAATTAAGACGGAGCAACGAGATCGCAGAGAATTTATGATTAACAATTACGTTAAAAAGTTAAAAAACAAATCTGGTATTGTTGAAACTCGTCTTCAGACGTGTACGGAGTGTGGCGAAGAAATGTGTACAGGTAGGTACATTACTACACTACAATTAAAGCAAAATTTCTAATGTGCGCATCCATATTTTGGTTGATCTAGGAAAGGCATGTGCAGAATTTAATTATGACCTGTTTGCACGAGTTGAACCCAAATATCCCAAATCGAAGCCTATACCGAATGCCGGAAATAAGGGTAAAATAAATGGTCGTAAGAAAATGGCTCCAAACGGGTCAAAGACTAAACAAAAGAAATCTAAATAAAGGTTACAATAATAAAAAACAAAAATATAAAAATATGGAAAATATTATAATTTTCTATACAAAGGAGACATTTGCAAAATGTTACAACCTGTATGTGGATTGACTAAGATTACTTAAAGCCTGTGTTGCACAGACTTTTTTTCATTCGTTCGGAAGTTTGACGAATGAAAGGACGTTTAGGTTTTTCAATGAGTGTTACCAAAAATATTATATTGGTAGTTTGGATTGAAGTATTCAAATTACAGAATAAGAACATGATATTGAAAGCATGTGCGTTTGATTTCTTGTGAAAGCAACTTAATATTTTTCAAAAATATGTGAATTTTGGTTGATTTGAATGCGTGTATAGGTAATGCGACCGTACAAAATGCTTGATTATGGGAAGAGGGTGAGTATTTTTGTGAGCAACAATATTGGTAAGGCCCTTATACCAAATATTTTTTGTTTGCCGTGGTACATGGTACAATTACACAGCTGTTACCTGTGCTGTTGCTGTACAACAAAGGTAACAACAACAACATATGTTATATAATGATGTTATATGTTCAACCAGTAAGAAGGGTCAAAAGTCGGGCGGGGCCGACTATATGCCACTTTAGCGTATTTAGTAATAAACCAGTAAGGAAAGCTCAAAAGTCGGGCGGGGCCGACTATATGATACCCTACACCACTATGCATATTTAGTAGAGCTCTCGTAAAAAGGTTTATACAGGACATTTCAGAGCTCTATGAGATATTTGGTACAAAATCAAAATCTATCTAATTCTATCGTGCATTTTACGAACTATAGCTATATCTGAACCGATTTTCACCAAGTTTGATGTATTTGATTCTAGGCTGAATTCGGTCAGATTTGCCAAAACCCAGGACATTTGGGCTGATATTGGACATTTTGGTGCGCAATCAACACGAAATTGGATGAAGATATATATAGGAGGTATATCCAAATCTGAACCGATATATGTAAAACTGAAAAAGAAGATATTTCTTGGCTGCATCTGATACCAAATATTATTCTTGTATCGTACATTTTTCGAATTTGAGGGACTTAAAGTACAAATCGGATGAAAGGTATATATAGGAGCTATAGCTGTATCCGACCGATTTTCACTAAATTTGATGTACCAATATTAGCCATTTGCTGCACATTTAATCCGAAATCGGATGAAGATATATTTGGGAGCTATAGCTATATCTGAAACGACTTTTACTAAAATTGGTGTCCGTGCTTCTAGGCTGAATTTGGCCAGATATGCCAAAATTCATGCCATTTCGGTTGATATTGGCCATTTTTTGCACAATTAACTCGAAATCGAATGAAGATACATATGGGTGCTATATCCAAATCTGAACAGATTTTGAGAAAATTAAAAGCGACTACTTTTGGGCTTTATCTGATATCTGGTACCAAATATCATTCCTGTGAAGAGTATGCTATGCTATACTATATCCAAATCTGAACAGATTTTTATAAAATCAAAATCGACTATTTTTGGGCTTTATCTCATATAGGGTACCAAATATCATTCCTGTGAAGAGTATATTACGAAAGTAAGGGACTTAAAGAGCAAATCGGATGAAACATATATATGGAGCTAGAGCTATATCTGAACCGATTTTTACTAAAATGTGTGTACTTGCCTATAGGCTGGTTTGGTCGGATTTGCCAAAATTCATGCCATTTGGGCTGATATTGGCCATTTGATGCACAATTAACACGAAATGGGATGAAGATATATATGGGAGGCATATCCAAATCGGAACAGATTTTAATAAAATTAAAATCAACTATTTTTGGGCTTTATCTGATAACTGGTACCAAATATCATTTCTGTGGAGTGCATATTACGAATGTGAGGGATTTAAAGACGAAATCGGATGAAACATATATATGGGAGCTATAGCTATATCTGAACCGATTTTTACTAAAATTGGTGTACTTGCTTCTAAGCTGGTTTCGGTCGGATTTGCCAAAATTTATGCAATTACGGCCATTTGGTGGTCAATAACCCGAAATCGGATCAAGATATATATGGGAGCTATATCCAAATCTGAACCGATTTCGATAAAATTTAAAACAGCTATTCCTGTGCTCCATCTAATACCTGGTACCAAATATCACGGTTGTGGAGTGAACATTACGAATGTAAGGGACTAAAACACTAAATCGGATGAAACATATATATGGTTGCTATATCTATATCTGAACCGATTTTCACCAAATTTGATATACTTGCTTCTAGGCTGAATTTGGTCCGATGTACTAAAATTCAGTCCATTTGGACTTATATCGGCCATTTGGTGCACAATTAACCCGAAATCGGATGAAGATATATATGGGAGCTATATCCAAATCTGAACCGATTTCGATAAAATTACAAACAGCTATTTCTGGGCTGTACCTTATATCTGGTACCAAATATCACGGTTGTGGAGTGAACATTACGAATGTAAAGGACTAAAACACTAAATCGGATGAAACATATATATGCTTGCTATATCTATATCTGAACTGATTTTCACTAAATTTGATATACTTGCTTCTAGGCTGAATTCGGTCCGATGTACCAAAATTCAGTCCATTTGGGCTTATATCGGCCATTTGGAGCACAATTAACCCGAAATCGGATGAAGATATATATGGGAGCTATATCCAAATCTGAACCGATTTTCTCCAAATTTGTTGTATTTACTTTAAGGCTAATCTCGGTCACATGTGCCAAAATTCGGGCCATTTGGGCTGATATTGGCCATTTGGTGGTCAATTAACCCGAAATCGGATGAAGATATATATGGGAGCTATATCCAAATCTGAACCGATTTCGATAAAATTTAAAACAGCTATTTCTGTGCTCCATCTAATACCTGGTACCAAATATCACGGTTGTGGAGTGCATAGTAGGAATGTGAGGGACTTAAAGATCAAATCGGATGAAAGATATATATGGGAGCTATAGCTATATCTGAACCGATTTTCTCAAAATTTGATATACTTGCTTCTAGGCCGAACTCGGTTGGGTGTGCCAAAATTCAGGTAATTTGGACTGATAGTGGACATTTGGTGCTCATTTAACCCGAAATCGGATGAATATATATATGGGAGCTATATCTAAATTTGATCCGATTCTCACCAATTTCAATAGGGTTCGTCCTTGGGCCAAAAAATTATTGTTTGGAAAATTTCATCTCAATCGGATAATAAATGCGACCTGCATTTTGTTCACAAGAATACATGGACAGACGGACGGACGGACGGACGGACGGACAGACGGACGGACATGCATAAATCGACTCAGAAAGTGATTCTATGAAGGTTCTCAAAAGTAACTATGGGTCTATCTCGTTTCTTTCTCCATGTTACAAACAAATGCACAAAGACATAATACCCTTACCACTATGTGGTGTAGGGTATAAAAAAGTTTATACGGGGAACCTATGTGAAGTTAGATCATACCAACTATGAACCTTATTTGGATGCGTATCATGGAAGTTACAAGTTGGGAACTATATCCAACTCTGAATCGATTTTCAATAAATTTGACGGAGACTTTTATAACTCTATTACCAAATAACATTGCTGTATAGTGCATGATATGACTTTGATATGGATTACATTAAAAATATTTTTCGGAGCAATAGATATACCGAAAAAGGCTTCACCAAATCAAAAAAATTTGTTGAATGTGAAAAAAATCTATTCAATTTGGTTCACCATATATGTTATATACAGGGGGAGATAAAAAAAACTGCAACAAAGTCAAACGCCATAATTTCTATATATTTTTTTAATTTTATTGAATGAAAGCAAAAATGTCGGATATAGCATCAAATTTAAGAATAAGTTTAGCTTTGTTCGAATTTGTCACCTTGGGAACGAATTATGACCTTCAAACAGCCAATGAAACCGCCATACGCTGCCCGAATGTTGCTCTGTGGTATTTTGGCCCATTCCCGAAGCGCTTACTTGAGGTGATTGACACTTTGGTATTTTTTAGTGCCAACCTTGCTTTCCAAAATATTCCAGACACAATAGTCCAACGGATTGGTATCCGGAGATTTTGGTGCCCATTGTGCGCTGGAAATGAAGCGAGGAACCTCATTTTGTAACCATTCATGGGAGGCGCGTGCTGAGTGCGATGGTGCTGAGTCCTGTTGGAATGTCCAAGGTCTGCGGACAAAATATTTGCGTGCTTTTATACACCCTCCAGAATATTTTCGCGATAATATTCGGCATTTATCCTGATGCCACGGTCGATTAATAAGAGCGGAGAGCGACCATCGGCTGTTATGGCGGCACACAGCATCACCATGAGTTCTGGTGGTCAACCGAAGGTGCACATTTTCACTGCGACGCGGGTTTCGATCATGTCGCTTCTTTACTTTTCGAACCATTTCTGCTGATGTTGCTGTTTTCTTCCGTCCACATCCTTGACGTCGGGCAACGCTACCAGTATCACGGTAACGAGCATTGGTACGAGACATAAAAGATTTATTCATATTTAAATGCTGGAGTGCTCTAACGATAGCCACTTGTGGTTTTCCAAAAATGCCTTCGTGCGCTTGTAAACAATATAATGAGCTGTCACAGAAATAATTTTAACAGCTGTTGGACGAGTGACTTAGAAATGCCAGCAGTCTGAAGTTGGTAGCAGTTTTTGCATATCACCCTGTATATGGTGAACAATAACCGTAAAATCGGATGAAGATGTATATCGAAGCTCTCGAAGGTATATATGGACGTTATATCCAAATTTGAAGCGATCTCTGAGATCTAAGAGCTATCTGGTACCAAATATCATTGTTGTAGATTGCATATTACAAATGTGGGGGACTTAAACACCATATTAAATGAAACATATATATGGGAGATGAAGCTATATCTGAACGGATTTTCAATAAATTAGAAGTACTAGCTACTAGAGTGAATTCGGTTGGAAGTGCCAAAATTCACTCCATTTGGACTGATATTAACCATCTGGTGCACAATAAACGTGAAATCTGTCGAAGATATATATGGGAGTTATATCCAAA